AGTCTCTTTCTAGGGGTTTTTATACCTTGTGTGCCAAACTTTGATTTCTCCACCTGTCCAAGCTACAACCTTGGGAGAAATGTGAGGCCCAAATGGAACCTAAACAGAAGAGGGGGTGAAGGACACTACCCCTTTCTTCTGAGACTAGCAGAGAAAGACTCCCCATCTTCAGGAATGGGCAAGCACTACTCTCCCCACCCCCCTTTAAGCAAAAAGAAAAACTCTTGTTTTATTTTGCTTTCCTTCATTTTCCTGGAATGTGAGAGACTTAAAAAGCAAGAGACCCACTGGAAAGTGGAGATGCCATTAACTTGGGGCTGGGCTGACTGGTCCTACCATGCCAGGGGTAGCATTAGTTTCTAAATTTGCCTAAATTTAGCCTCAACCCCTCCAACATTATTTTTCTTCTGTACGAATGTTTCAGTTGCTTCTAAAATAGGCACGAAACCTACATGTCTACTTCCTGAGAGGCAAGGACGAACAAACTTCCTAGCCGAAAACCAAACCATTTTCAGAGTTTTAGAAAAGTTTTCCGAAATCCAATGACATTTCTTCTTGGGACTGAAGAATCATACCAGTGAGGTGAGGCAAGTAATGTTAAAAAAAAAAAAAAAAAAAAGATCCACAGCCCCGCCTCCCAAACGAAACTTAATGAGGACAAATAATTTCAGTTTTTGAAATTATTAACAATCCCAAATGCCTTATTTTCCTGTATTCTTATGTTTCTCATAAATATCAAGCTTTGGGTAGGAACATGGTTATAATTTTCATTTCTCATAGACACAGGTGCGCAAGAAGTTAGTGCCTTTGAATTTTGTCTAAAAAGTTTTCAACTTTGCCGGTATCTTTTCCTGAGTATTGAATAGGTGCTTACAAATGAAGGATGTAATCTAAAACAAGAAATTAAGAACATAATACACACTACAGAACAAAAGCATTAAAGAAACAATGTATCTACATACACTCCTTATTTAATGCAGCTACATATTAACTTACAAAAACCAGATCCCCTCACTGTAAATTGATATTTATGTAGCTCGACAGAACATGAAAAAAATGAAAAAAAACATAGTTTCGGATGAAACCAAAAAAGAGCGTAAAAAACAAGCCAAAAGAGATACAGTGTGGCAATGTAAGAACTAATTTATTTTCAAGCGGGGCCTATCATATGTATATAAAATAAAATCAATTTTGTTTAATGAACAAAAACCCAGTAAGCAAGCGGATATTTTATAAGTATTTGGATAGTTGTGATTATTTTGTAACAAGACAGGCTTTGATAGAGATGTTTTAGAGAAATGCGCGCTTTTCAGATTCATTCTATTTCCGTCAACAGATTTCTAAAGTATCTATATTTCCAAGTAATACAATATAAGGAAGCAACAAGAGCAAAAAGTAAGAAAATTCGTTGCAGTTTCAAATGCGGAGAATTCACATTGAGTAAGAGAAAAATAACGCAATAAACATTTAAGACACACCTCTGTAAACATCAGAGATCATTTAAAAGCTTATTTCTGGCAAATACTTCCACAAATATTTTTAGGGTGGGAAACCACTTTCAACAGATACGAACAATAGCTTCAAAAGTTAGGGGGAAAGTATTTGCATTTTAAAAGTTAATATTGCTTTAACAGATTCTTGGGCCATTTTTCTTGTGTTTAAATTTCTTAAGAGTGTTCATTTTGTGTGCCTAAGAAACCTAGAGACATAGTGTAATGCTCTCCGTGTGAGTGGTTCTGTGGAAAGAGCGAATTAGCTTAACAATTGGGAAGGTTTAAAAAAAAAAAAGCTCATGAAAACCTTATAAATTATGGCAAAACATTTAAGCCCGGAATTTGAAAGACCGGAGTGGGGAGTAAAATGGCGCAGTTATACCGCGACAGCTCTCTGGCCCCCCAATTCACGTGTATTCACCAGAAAGAGCCAGGAGAGCTGGTTACTTTTTTCGTTTGAAAATACTGCTCACGTTCAGGGTTCCTAACCCCGATAAATACACGGAGCCCGAGAAGCGCGCGCGGCCATTGTGTTCAGAGCACAGGTGTCAAGCGCCGGACCGCCCGGCACGCTCCTTCTCTATGACTTTGCTGCCCACCAGCAGAAGCCCCGGAGCCCAGCACAGTTCGCAGCCACTTGGCGAAGAAGCCTCAAGCAGGGGCTTTCCAAACGCCCCCCGCGCCAGCCTCGAGGCCGCAGGCCAGGCGGGCTGCGGCCGGGCGCCGGCGACCAGGGAAGCGCCCAGTCCCCTGCCCTGCCTCTCTCGCCTTTCCTAGGAGCTATCCAGGGCGTCCTGGAACACCAAAGAACAACTTTTCTCTCTCTTTTCTTTCCACCTTAGGGGAGCAAGGTGGGCAAAGAAAGGGCGTTCATAAACCTGGCTTCAAGAGCCCACTGTGCAGTGACCCGGGAACCGCAAGCAATTTTTTGAAAAATTACTTTAATAAAGTCCGACGCGGCCAGGGCTGGGGGAGGAAAGGCAGCATTCGCTTGGGAAAGGGAGAAAAGCCTTGAAGTCTGTCCCGTGTTCCTACTCCTGAAAGGGTCTCTGGCCCTCTCGTCCACCTCCCCGCCCGGCTGGACTCCAGGGGCTTGGAAGGAAGAAGGCTGAGGTTCGAGGACAGGGCCGGGCTTGGCTCTCCGTCCGCCGGGCCTGCGAGTGTCGGAGACCCTTGGTAGGGCTCCGCGGGCAGCCCGGGTCGGGCGCCAGGGCGGCGCCGGGGCCCGGCTGGACGCGCCCGGCAGCTCGGTGTGTAAGCGCTGGGAGCGGCCGGCAACCCCGCGTCTACGTTTTGATTTCCTTCCCCCTTCTAAGCTGCGTTTACAACTTCACCAATGAATAACCCGCCTCTCTTTTCAACCTAATCACGGCTCTTTGTGTATCTTTCTGTTGATGATTTATAGAAATAAATTAATAACACCCCGACTCCACGTGCTGCAGTTTATGTTACATCTCTGCTGCGTCCGGCCCGGCGCGGGGCTGGGTGCGGAGGGGCGCCCAGGTCTTCTGGGGCTTCCCAGATCCTTCCAGCGCCGCGCTGGGAAGCGGGCTCCTGCAGCCAGGCGGAAAGGCCTAGGCCTTATGGGCCTCCGGTGACCGGCGGCTGGAGCGGGCTCAGTCCTCCAGACCCTGGGCAACTTCCCGGCCACCTTGGCACTCCAGCTGCTAGGAAGGGCTCCTATCTTGACCCCTCTTCGCCCCCTGCCAGCCTCCTAACCCCAGCCGGGGAGCAATCGCAGTCATGCGGGGAAACGGCGAGGGAAGAACCTTAAACCTATGAATTACAGCAAAATACTTTTTTTGGGGAAAAAAACTCCTGAAGTCTCCCTGATTGTCTTGGCTAGAGGGCAAACTGCCAGATCTCTGGAGCGCAAAATCAAATGCAAGGTCATATCCCACCCTAAACTGCCATTGCGGGCGAAGGCTCAGTCCTCACCCCTAATGCGGCGGCGCTTGCGAAAGAGGCCACGCGAGGGGCTCCTTCTTAAAGCCAAGTGGTCCCGGAGCAAAGTGAAGTCTAAGGGAACCGCTTGGCTCCTTGGATAATTAGTAACCAGCTGTCAAAGCCTAGGCCTGTCGAGGAGTACAGGCGAAGGATCCTGGCCCTGGGGTAGGTGGCCGGCCTGCCTGAATTCCCAGGGATGGAGGTCAGGGTGTCGGTGGAGAGATCCCGAAAGGCCCTCCTTTCTCAGACTGAGACTAAAACCTTTGCAAACCGAGGTCTTAGTCGCACTTGCCCCTACAACACACCCGCCTGCTTAGATTCTGGGATTGTGTTGCCCTAGGCGGGTCTACCCGGGCCGTAAGTGCAAACATTCATCTTTGCAAATCTAAACCAGCTTGGGGGGTGGGGGTTCCAGGCCTTCCATCGGCTCTGCTAATGAAAGCAGCCACCAAAGAACTCGCGTCCCACATCCCGGCCCCGGGTGCTGCCGGTCCCCAAGCAAAAAAGGGCAGGTCGCTGTGCCCGAGGCGGACCTGCAGCTTCCCGACCCCAGGCAGCACGGAGTAGAAACATGAGGGCTGGGACTTGCAGGGCTGCGAACCCTCTGCTCCCGGAAAACTGTAGCTGTTTCACTGCACCCACTTGCACCTTCAGCTGCGTGGGCAAACCTCCGGGCAAAAGGCTCCGCAGCTCCGGTTCTCCCTCGCAGAGCCCTAGCCCCGCGGGGAAGGCCCTTGGGTCCTGGCCCCTGGCCTGGACCAGGGGAGACGAGCCCCGGGGCCCCAGGGTCGTCCGACTGAGGCTTTGGGAAGCGTCCAGGTATTGGGAGAGGTGCGGAGCGCCCCCCGGGGGACTTTTCTGGTGGGAGACACGGTTGGTGAGAGGGGCCGGGCGCACTGTCACGCAGGCGCTGGGCCCTGGGCTCCAGGGGCTCGGCACGTACTCGCCACCTAGCTCTGCGCCTACCTGAGCATCCGGTCCACCTCCGCCCGCTGCTCCGCCGCCTCCTCGGTGTTGAGCGCCTGCAGCTCCTTGAGAATGGGAGGGGTGTCATAGTCGTCGCCGTCCTCCGAGCCCTCGTCCCCGGACAAGCGGCCCTTGGCGTGGCCGTTGGTGAGAGTGTGGAAGACCGGTTTGGTGTCGGGCTCGGCCCCGCTCCCGGGTGACAGAGGCAGCGTCTCCAGCTTTACCCCGAAGTTCGGGGATGGCAACAACTCCTCCAAGGCCTGGACCAGCACCTCCTTGGTGACCCCAGAGCTCAGCAGGGCGCTCAGGAGTTCTTGCTGGAGCGACGTGAGCTTGGACACCATTTTCCAAGGACGGAAAAAGAAGGAGGTAAGGGGGTGGGTGGGTGGGTGCCAGAGAGGGTGGAGGGGAGTTTTACAAGCAACCCCCAAATCCACGAACCCCTCCACCCTTCAGCCTCCAGACACCTGTTACTCCCCGGGGTCCCGGAGTCTCCTCCGAGAGGAGTCAGAAAACTTCTAACTTGCCATGATCGCCACCATTAGGCCATATAAGATATGCAAATTAGTGGGAAGGACTCCTCTTTCGGCAGGATGCAAATGCTGGCGGGGAGGGGGGAAACTGAGAGAGGGAGAGCCTGAGGGGCAGACGTGGAGCGCAGGAGACTCGGTCCCGGAGCTGGGCTTGCCAGGGTGCATTGTACTCACGCTGGGGGGCTGAAGACCTTCTTTCACTGGTTCTATTTATCAGCCAAACTTTAACCGACCTTTGGACTTATTAAGCAAGTAGCTTGCAGCCTAGGCGCGGGGGCCTTTCCAACCGGTTACGAGTTTCGCTGTGGTCCGGAGAGAGGACACTACGCTTCAGGGTTCAGGTGAGAGCTGGAGGAGGTTGGGGTGCTCTTGGAAGAAAGGGATAAAGAAGGAAGTGAAGAGCAGAGACCCTCTGATGCATACCAACAGTCGCAGGTGGTGGGCCAGGAGAGCCGGCGGGGAGGAGGCGAAAGTGGCCACCTGGGAAGGGTCGCTGAGACCCGGGGAAAGTGGGGTGGGTTAAGGCGGAGTGAGTGTGTATCGGAGAGACCCCGTTTATTTCTACCTCGGTTACCACTCTTCAGGTTCCAGGCCCTCTCTGGCCAGTCTGGCGGTTTGGATTCGCAGGACTGCAGTCCCTGATACCGCAGGCAAGGGTGAAGGAGGCCGGGAGGACCTTTTCGAGGAGGCACCGACTAATTTATGGCTAGAGGGAGTAGCCAAAGTAGAGCTCCCCCAGCCGGGCTGCACTAGCGCCAAGCCAGGCCGAGCCGCTGGGGGAGCTGCACTCCTGGGCCACCCACTCGCTCAGGTTTACACTGAAATATCAAAGTGCCTACGCGTTGAGGGCGAAAGTAGGTTTGCCGTGCCTCCTTTCCAGCAGTGAAAGTAAAGCTTGGTCTGTGGCTGAATGGACAGTTGGAGATGCATGACCCTCGGGCTCACCTTTTTCTGGTTTATTCGCAGTTCCAATCCATCTATGGTCCCAAGGGCCAGGGCCAGGTAACCGCATAGGGTTATGGCAGCAGTGGTGGAACCTCAACTTCTGAGCAGAGAAGGTGCTGACAAAGCCACTGACGGAAGGAAGTTTTTTTCCATTCTGGCCTGGGTCTTAAAGAAAGCCATGGGCCTTTCAGCACTGTTGGAGATTCACTCCCATCTCCCCGGGGCACGGAAGGAAGGAGCCACACGCAAACCCACGGGCTGAGACCTGACCTACGGAAGAAAGGCTTCTTGGGATTCATCTCTCACCAACATCGCTTCTGGGGCAGAGGACACTCCTTCCCCGCTCTGCGCCTCGGTTTCCTTGCCTGTAAAACCGGGATACTACTGATAATTACAGTGCGGGGTGGGGAGTGGGCGTTGTGTACATTAAGTTTAAGACCACCTGCAACCTCTTGGTTTAATAATAGTGCTCATTCTTTCCATTCTGGGAAGGCAGGAAGCCAGTTCCCACTAGAAAAATCTGCAAGTTTAGCCCCTCTGCAAGTTTAGGATTTTCCCACTCAAGGAGATGAAGTTCTGGGGCTGGAGAGACTCGGAGATTAGGAACAAGAATTCAGGATCAGCAGGAAGACAGCAAGGAGCTTCCGAACACATTCTGCCACCTCTTTCATCTCCAGAAGATAATCAGGAGGAAGTTGGGGTTAGGTTAGGGTTAGCTGAGGAGTTTCAGTGCGAAGGAGGAGGGGTTCAGACTTCCCCATCCGCTAGGAACAGGAGCAAGTCTCCTAGGTGTATGAGAGCTGATGATGTGACTGATCCAGGTCAGGCTGCCAAGGAGCCAGGTTGCCTTTTTTTAAATACTGGGTCTGTTACAGGTGCCTGGGCCAGAGGGAATGGGTGTTGTGTGCATGGAGCTTGGGGAAGGTCTATACCTTTTGTTTCCTGTACAAAGGGGTAATAACTTCATGGAATTGAGGGCCCTTCATTACACTGTCTCGTCTTTTAGTTTATCGTGACAGATGGCAGATCCTTCCTTGCCCCTCACACTTCTGCCCTGTAGAAGAACATTCTCTGCGACCCAGCTTGCCTCAAGCAGGATAATGAAGTGTTCAGAGTAAATGTCCCTGGAGAACTGTCTTTTTCTCTCTCTCTCACCTGCTAGCGTGACAGAAGTATCAAGTATAATGAAGATCAGTTTCTGTGTTAAGAGGGGAAAACCCATTAAAAAACCAGCAATCAGTTCCCTTTTAACTTTGATTTGTGGTTCCAACTGCTGTGTGCCCTGACTCCCAAGTCCATTCCTCCCTCAAAATTCAGGTGTCAGCAAACCCATTCTTCCTCCAACCCTAGTCAACTATGTGAAAATACAGGAAGTTTTGCTCGGAGGAAAGGGAAAACTTCCTGTGAGTGTCTGGGTATGTCTTCCTGGCAATCTGCCTGTCCATGTCTAACAACTTCCTGTAATTCTCCTACCCAGACCCACCTTGTATATGCCACTTGGTGCAATATAGGTGCTTACCAAGTAATTGCAACTACAGATTGGTGAATACACAGCTAATATCTATCCCTTCATATGGAAATTGAAAAAAGGCATAACTAGACCAGCAGACAGTCCTTCAGAATGTGGGTCATAAATCCTAACTGAATGAGCCATCTCATAAAAGCATTTAGTTAAACTTCTCTCAAAGAGAAAGACAAACGCTGATTGAAATGACCTTTGTTCGTGCTTCATGTAGAATAAAGTGACGGACTCATAGAGAACCCCCATTTTAGAGATGGGAAAATGAAACACAGGACAGTGTAAGGAGTACGTTAATGGGGGGATTGGGGCTCAGGGTTTTTGAGCAGGATTTTAGGGTGAAAGAAGGCCTCTAACTTTTATTGTTTTCACAGCAGGGAATAGAAGGCAAGCTTTGGAAAACTAAACTTGAGCCTGAGATCTGCGTAAACCAGCTGTGTGACCTTGAGTGGATTACATAGTCTTTCTGATTCTCAGTTTCCTTCTGTGTAAATGATAATGACAGCCTACTGTGCTTTTGTGAGAGTTAAGTGAGTTACAACTGCAGTTTCCTGGAACATGGCAGCCTCTCGCATATTTAGAAAGAAGCAGCAGATCATGGAAATACGCTAAGAAGTAGGGCAACAATCTCTTTGGATTCTTATATCCCCCAGCTTGTTTTTAAGAACTACTAAATTTGAAGAGACTACTTTAGGTTTATTTACTCAAGTAATAAATTTGCAGTTCAAATCCCCAGTTTTTTTTTTTTAATGAAAGATTCAGTCCCTGGTATAAAATAATTTAAAATCCATTTGGCTACCTCCCATTTGACCTTGCAGTCCCACTACTAGGCATCTACCCAGAATAAAAAAATGATTTCATTATAAAGACTTGTGGCTCGGCGCCTGTGGCTCAAGTGGCTAAGGCACCAGCCACATACACCTAAGGTGGCAGGTTCAATCCAGCCCGGGCCCACCAAACAACAATGATGGCTGCAACCAAAAAATAGCGGGATGTTGTGGCGGGCACCTGTGGTCCCAGCTACTTGGGAGGCTGAGGCAGGAGACTCGCTTGAGCCCAGGAGTTGGAGGTTGCTGTGACATCTACCCAGGGGGAAAGCTTGAGGCTCTGTCTCCAAAAAAAAAAAAAAAAGACTTGCACTAGATTGTTTATTACAGCTCAATTTACAATCACCAAGATATGTAAGCAACCTAACTATCTATCAGGAATAGATTAACAAACTGTAGTATATGTATACCATGGAACATGACTCAGTCATAATAAAGATGCTGACTTTACATCTTTGATATTAACCTGGATGGAGTTGAAACACATTCTTCTTAGTAAAGTATCACAAGAATGGAAAAGCAAATATCCAATGTACTTAATATTAATATGAAGCCCGTAGACCAGTGATTCTCAAACTTCCTAATGCCAAGACCCTTTGATACAGTTCTTCATGTTGGGGTGACCCCCAACCATAAAATTATTTTTGTTGCTACCGAGTAGAGCAGAGGGGGGATTGGTGTGTTCCTACTTAATGGGCACAATATAGAGGCGTATGGCACATCTTTTGGGTGGGGGTTACAACTACAAGAGGGCCTCTACCTAACAAATGCAAATTTTGTGACCTGGTTATTTGCACCCCCACATTAACCTGAAAAAAAAAAACCACTTGGTTCATTGTTCTATGAAGGTGTTTTGAGCATCTTATAGTTAATTTCACAGATGGGCCAATGTGGCTCCTGTGGACTCACCTCCTCTGTAACCTAGCAGCACAAGGGCTATTTTTCTGCTCTTGTGCACATGGTCTTCACCCTACTTTCCATAGTTGCCCTTCTTTGTTTACAGAAAGCAAATCTGGTCTTTTCTATGCTCTGCTGCTCATTCTTCAAGGTTTTCCCATCGATTCTCTGTCCAGAAGGCCTCAAAGTGAAATCATCTCTAGAGTAAAACATAAACAGCACCCTACCCTGGTGTGAAGGAGGTTGGGGGCCTTGTGGTTAGCAATGTTGCAGCCTGGAGAACATTCTGGACTTTGGAATCAGGAACCTGAGGTTCTAGTTCTGGCTACAATATTCCTTTCAGAGTGACTCTTAATTTCCTCAAATAATTTGGGGAGCACTTTCTCTGGGCTTCTGATTTTGCTTTGGAAAAACAGCCAGTTGGTTTTGAGCATTTAAGTTTTGCCACTTTTTTTATGATTGGAAATTCCTACAAAGTCTTACATTACCAGGGTGTCTACTCCAGGCCTTTGGGCAGATGGTCTGTGGAGTGATGAACCTGAAACTTTTGACTAGCCATGAAGAAATACACCACAGACAGCAAGCCCCAGGATGGAGGGACTCCCCTCCACCACTATGTCTTACTCTTCTGTGCCTGGAGAGGTGCTGTTATGTGCTAGGTCCTTAATATAATACTAGTTGAGTAAATAACAAGTGATCATCTCTGGATAATACCATTAAGCATGCTTTTTGTTTCCTTAATTTACTTCTCAGATTTTCCAACTTGTCAGCAATGAAATTGTAGTTTAGAAATACTGTTCCCAGACACAAAAGGGTATGTACACTGTGTGATTCCAATTATATAATGTTAAAAAGTACCTAAACTAATCCATGGTGATAGAAGTTTCTGGGGTGCTAGAAAAGTTGTATGTTTTGAATGGTATTGTGTATATGTCATCAGGCCATAGAATTTGTATGTGTTGTGTATGTAAATTATAACTTGCTAAAAAGTAAACAATTCCAAAGTATAGAATGTATAAATGTAAACAGTGTAATTCATTTCCTTGTTGGCAGGTGATGTGTGGCCCTCCAGATTTTTTCCTATTCATCAGTATAGTTTATCATTGTTAAAGTCTATAGGCTAGTATATTCTAGGAGTTAGCATACTTTTTCTATGAAGGGACAGAGAGTAAATATGTAAGCTAGGCTTTGTAGGCCATTTGTCTCTGTCACAACTACCTAACTCTGCTGTTATGGACAATACATTGATGAACATGTGTGGCTGTGTTCCAATAAAACTTTATTTATAACAACAGTGGATTGTCTGGAGTGGCCCACGGGCCACAATTTGTCAACCCCTAGATAAAACACTTATCAAGTAGAAATCCACCAATCCAAAAGGGACCCTAGAAGTCATCTCATTTCACGTTTTTCTCTTCAGGATGAGGAAGCAGATTCAGGGAGGAGAAATGACTTTTCACAAAAGACATAGCACAGGGCACTAGGAAAATCCTGGTTTTGGACTCAGACCAACTGCTTTCTGGGACTGTATGGACAAAACTTTGGGCAAGTTACTTAATTTTTTTCAGCTTTTATATTATCATCAAACGTAAATGGTGATAATGGAATTTATACTTCGCAGTGTTGTTGGAAGAATTAAATGAGGTAATGCAGGAAACACACAGGTGGGACACTGGCCTGGTCATAGTCATCCCACATAGCTCAGGGGCTCCTTGCCTTAAAACACACATCTTTGGTCTAAGTTCACTAACAAACCACCACCAAGTGTTTACTGTGTGTAAAGCACTTGGGGAGCACTTTGGGGAGTATTTTGAGGGAATAACAATTGAACCAGATTCAATTCCTGCTCTAAAGGAGTTGGTTATATGGTGGGAGAGATCGACATGGGTACACTCAGATCCCAAATCCTCCCCATCCCAGCCACCAGCTTCCTCTCTAGAAATCCTTTTTAGCTCTCAGCTTTTATTTCCCCAATGTATTACTATGAGATGATCTTTGCCGGGGAAGCTCCTAAGAGTAGAAATGATTTCTCTCATTTTGATTTAACAACTCACAGCCTTCTTCTGGGTCATTTTTAGAAATAGTGGGTTCCCAGTAGTTTGTAAAAGATTAAATTAAAAACCAGTGACCTAGTGTGATATTAAACTAATAAATACTACACCCAGAATAAAGAACTTTCACTCCAGAACAGGACTCTACTCCTTTTTCTTTTACTACAACG